TAGATATGTATAGGTAGATTCTCCATTATTTAGATGGCAAATGCGTCTATGTGCTTGGAGCGGTCGAATGGGGAATCTACCTATACATATATGGGTAAAACAATGAGCATGATGTTATTGTCAGTAAGAACTTGGTCCCTTGTTCGCTTCATTTTACCACAGATTTGTTTACAAACAGGCTCGACACTCGATTCGACATGGGATTTTCATAAAGATTGAAACTAAAAGATGATGCTGTGCGACTATATTGGATCCGACAGTAATGTCGCAACACGTGAGTAACTGTTTTCATTACGTGATAACTATTGCTTTGTCTGTTAAACAGATTGTTTGATATGTACTGAGTATTTATGCGTTTTAACCTAAATCACAGCAGCATCCATCTGTGAAGGACGTAGACTGTCAAACATACACAAGCCAATCATAGAAGTGGGCGTTTACTTCCGAGTCTACAATCCGCCACGCCTATTCAAACAGAGCGTTCTGATTAGGGGGGTTAAAAACAGGACAGAAAACAGCCTATTACTTCAAAATTATGATGTTTTTTAATGTAAAAATAACATGATAACATTATAAGTGGACCTCAGAGAAAAGTACAAGATAAAAAAACAGGCAGTTCAGGACCCCTTTAAAACATTAACAACATACAGAACACAAGTTTTTCATGCTTTTAAAAAAGGAGTCAACCCATAGAAATCTCCTTCCACAAACAGGACAGATTAGGGCCGGACAATAATTCAATATCAGTATGTATCGCGATATAATTTTTTTCAATAACGGTGATATAATTTTTAAAGGGGTCATATGATGCAATTTCAAATTTTCCTTTCTCTTAGGAGTGTTACAAGCTGTTCGTGCATAGATAAGATCCCTAAAGTTGCAAAGTCTAAAGTCTCAAACCCAAAGATATATTCTTTATAAAATTTAAGACTTGTCCACGCCCTCCTAAAACGCCTTGTTTAAACACGCCCCCACGTCTACGTCACTGTGTGGGAAGATTTGCATAACACCGCCCAAATGTTCACGCAAAGAAAGAAGGCGTAACTTTTTTATTCTCACTGTAGTATTGTTTTTTCTGCCGCTGCCATGTCGTGGAGACGCTGTGTGTTTCGTTGTGAAAGCGAAACTACTTTGTAGTTTGGAAGGTAGTGGCCTTCCAAAAGAGGACGATATCCGCTTCGTCATGCCTAGAGCTGATCCGTGCTGGTCGCTGAGGAATATACATCAACTTCACGCTATGGATCGCCGGATCGGCTTTCACCATGGACGAAGCGGAGTCCAGCCCGGGGTCATCACATGTGG